TTTCTATTGACTGATCAGCAGTTTTATATAGAAACTAATGTTAATGAAGTTAATAAACACACAGCAGTTAAAACACTCTTATGATGCTGCATTTTATTTGAAAATATTTCTGGTGATAGTGATATTGATAGACATAATTAAATATAATTACAGTAATTTGAAGTGTTCGAAGTAAGAATGTTTTGCAAAACATCCTAAATGGTTATAATTAGTACAAAATGCTTATAATGGGTCAGGTGGTATGAGCAGTGCGACCGCCCCCACTACTGGACATAGTACATATGCGCTGTACACATGTACCTGTGCGAGACGCAATCAAGACCAGGGATGCATCATCACCTATACTGGTATCTGTGCTCATTTACTCGTACTGATACCTGCATCCAATACCACTTTACACCATGTGAAGTAAACCTGGCGTACACTGCTGCGCTAACGAACACATGACTCAAGCTGGCAATGAATGAGGGTCTGCTTGCACAGCAAAGTGGCAGTCGGACACAAAGTCGTTAGTCACTTTAAACATTCTGCCTTGGCATATTCCCGCCAGGCGTACACTGTGTGATTTTAGCTCATTTAAGCACACACAAACCACCTCCTATGCGGGTAAACACATGCAGGCTAACAAAGTCAGTTGTTTACAAGACATTTGCGGTACTGCCTGGTTTTAGTTTCAGTGCACAGTTAGCAAAGCTGTGTAGCACAGTTACTAACTGTTAAGTTACTCAGTTAACAATTACTTAATTTTAGGTAGTATCCTCATTATGGTATCAGTATCAGCAGAGGGGGTCGGACCACAGGTAATGATGGACCTGACCAGAGAACTTAGAGAGAAGAATTACCACTCTGTAGTGTCTTCTGGGTTTCTCAAACGCTAGAGGGCGCTCCGGAGCGAGTCCAAAATGAATGGGTTAAGATGGAGCATTTGAGCAAAATCATAGTTTATAAATGCTTAAACATTTTTAATGTAAAATAATACATTCATACATGAACACAGAATAAAATAAAACATTTTAACACTACTGTTATATTTTTGAGCGCTTTTGAACTCAAGTTATATGAGTTTAAAATGGCGACTCAGGGACGTTCACTGAGCACGAACAGCCAATGAGCTGCTCCGCTCACCAACCAATCAGCACTCAGTATCAGTAATGGTAGCATCCTGCTGCCAAAACCCGTTCGCTGTAGAAAAAAGTAAACATACATGTGAGTTTCTTTGCTTTTGTAGTTAAATATAAGCTTCTACTTTCTAAAATTAAAGTTCTGTGCACGTGATTATAGAAACTATTTTAACTTTCCGTTTTTAGCTGTTTAGATCTATTTACTCCTATTCATTGACGACTCGCTCACGGACGCCCTCTGGTGTTCTGCAGTCCTGTTTTTGATACGATGCGGGTCACAGGAAGATGCCAGGCTCCTCATAAAGCAGCTCTGACATGACTTAAGAGCCTGAGAAATAACTAGAATTTGGTTTCTAATGTTGACATTCTCTGTTATAGCAGAAACCAACCATACATGCATGTATGTTCCATGAAGTTCTGCGTCTATCATTAGTGGCTGTCCGCCAGTTCTGACCACTTCAAAATGAATCCAAACTCAGCATTTGGAAACAGAAGGAGCCCAGAGTGAGAAAGCAATAAATGGGCAATCATCCTCTGGTCTTCCTCTTTCAGAAGAGAGGTGAGCCTAAAGCTCCAAACAGTAAATATGTCACAGTAACATAAGTTAGCTAGCTAACTAGCGATTAGCCACATCTATGGCGATTAGCTACATTTGCAGTCATTTGCAACAAGCACAAGCTAATAAAGAAGCACAGGACTTGATTCAATGCAGCAAGTAATCAGACAGTGTTTCTGTGATCATAACTAATCGAGATTAGCCTCAGCCCAGCAGCTAACCTGTGAAACACACACTGTTAGCTCCAGAGGCAGTAACTGAGAGAGAGAGAGCAGCACCTCTTCCTTTTCTGATGCAGCTGAAGACATGAGACAGGGTGATGACCAAAGCAGGCAGCTAACAGGTGTTCCAATCAATAAACCACACATGTTGAGCAGTTTCTGTGAAAATGACAGTAATTACATTTATTTATTTTTAGTCTTCTCTGTTGAATTTTCCTCTAATTACACTGATTGTTTTGAATATAGGCCAAGTTTAAATCTAACCCTTATTACAGTACAGCAAGATTGATGATTTAAAGCACATCTTCCGTATTGTCATGTATTGTTTAAGCCTTAAATGTTTATCAGCCAACCTTATAACAAGATACATAATAACATAATAAAAAACATAATAAATACAATATATTTTTTTCCTTTCCTTTTCTTTGGAGAGAGGAGGGGGGGTGGCTGGGTACATTACTGTGCATGGGGCCCAAATGTTGGTTCTACACCCCTGGGTCATCAGGGTTTAGCTGCAAGTACCAAAAAACACATACTCAGTCTAAAAAGGAGGTATTGATGCATTTCTGCCCAAAACACATGGAAATAAGCACCTATCTATCTTGCTGTCCACTCAGATCAGAGCATTTGAGACAGATGCTAATACCAAGTGTGAATAGAGCCATACAGACAGAGAGAGAGAGACAGAGAGAAAGAGAGACTTTAATTCTCTCTGATTGTGTCAGCAAAACACCCAAAGTAGGACCAGGACGCGACCCCTTTCAATGCAGAGTGTGCGTGTGTGTGTGTACTTGAGGCCGCTGAGCAAAGGTTGTCACAAAAATGAGGGGTGTTTGGGGGGCTGTAAAAAGAGAAAGTATCAAATTAAGTCCTGCTTCCACTTAGAGTGTGTGTGTGTGTGTGTGTGTGTGTGTGTGTGTGTGTGTGTGTGTGTGTGTGTGTGTGTGTCTGTGTGTGTTTGTGTGCCTGTGAGTGGGAGAAAGAGAGAAACTTAAAAGCTAACTGTTCTGGACACCTCCCAAAATCCTGCAAGAGAAAGACAGAGGCAAAGAAAAAGGCAACAGAAGACAGAATGAAAGCATGAGAGAGGGAGAGAGAGAGAGAGAGAGAGAGAGAGAGAGAGGAGAGAGGAGAGAGAGAGAGAGAGGGAGAAAGAAAAGGGGAAATGAAGGAAGAGAGTGAATGATCGAGACAAATGGCGAAAGGGAAACTCATTAAACGGATGGCGCATGGATCACAGAACAAGACAATGAAACAAGAGAGAGATGAGAGAGGAAGGAGAAGACAAAGGGAGAGTGAGAGAGTGCGAGAGAGTGCGAGAGAGAGAAGAAAGAACAAAGAAGGTGAAGTGAGTTCAAAGAAAAGAAGTGAACATTCACAGAACAACAGAGGGCGAGAGATACAGAGGGAGAGAGGAAGGAACGGAGAGAGAGAGAGTTAGCTTGGCTCGCATTGGCGAGGCGTATCAGTCTTCCACTCACTTCTTCTTCATCTCCTGAGGAAAAAGCAGAGAAATTGACCCCAGAGTTTGCAGAAAGTAGTTGATACCCCGATCCCCTCCGACACAAACCCTCTCACCTCCCCCTACCCTCAGCCCAAAACTCAACACTGAGCCAGAACACATGAGGGGGGGGAGGGGTACTGCCTGATAGGAGATTTTCACATGAGCCAGGCTCCAGCATGTGTCTGTGTATGTGCGCTTGTTTTTGTACAGTTTCAGGATTACAGAGGAGAAGCAGGGGTAACTTGGTCACTATGAAAATGAAATATATTGTTACGTGTTTCCAGCATATTATAAAATGTAAACAGACAATTTTTATATGATCCGCCAATGAAGGAATAAAGTATATAAATAAAAATGTTACTTTACAAAAACAATATATATATATATATATATATATATATATATATATATATATATATATATATATGGCTTTATATAACAATATTAATAATACAAAACATATATAATAATACATAATACATGTAGGTATCAATTACTAAAGTAATAGCTAAAAAAATACAATACCTTTTATTTTATAATAGTAAGATTAAGGTTATGCTTAGAGAACTATTATTATATATATGTACTTACATATATATAATACATATGGGACCTTATTATAACATATAGGTACTTACATACTATAATACACATTAAACATATTATTACATACAGGTACTTTTATGTAGTACAGGGACATTTTTAATATAAATAGATACTTATATATAGAATACATATAGGACATATTACATATAGGTGTTTACATATATAAAACACTAATACTAATACAGAAATACTGGACACATTACATAAGTGGAACATATGTGTGACCCCATGTCCTAACAAAGTATAAAAACAAGCATGTTTGTGTGTCCTGCCTCTCACTTAAACAGGCAGTGGTGGGTAAAAGCCATGCGTTACCATGGGAATATTAGCGTTTGTACGGTACTGGGTCATGTTGTTTAAAATAAGCCATTAGCGGTTAGCGCTAACATTCCCACTGTGACTCACGCACACACATGCACGCACACACACACACAGCCCTCGCAGTTCTGCTGCTCCCCAAATTTTCATTTTGATTGGCAGTCAGAGGAGTAAAGGTGTTTAATGCCAGATAAAGCAGCCTCCGGCATATCTTGGCACTTCATGAGTGAGAGTTTATGTGTATGTGTGCATGGAGCATCTCTCCGATGTGAAAACCTCCCCTCAGATTCTGGAAGCGTCGCACTGTTGATGGAGAAAAAGGGTTTAGCGCTGTGAATGTGTGTGTGTGAGTGTGCGTGTGTGTGTGTGTGAGGCAGAGAGAGAGAAAGAGAAAGAGCGAGAGGACGAGAGAGCGTCTGACCGTCTGTCTGAGTGTGTGTATGAGCGTGAGAAGGCGCGAGAGAGTGCACTCGTGAGTGTGTGTGCAAGTGTGTGTGTGATTGTGTGTGTGTGTGTGTGAGTGGATGAGGGTTGGGGGGGGTTTGGTGGGGAAAGGGAGGGAATGGGGAGGTGGGAGAAGTGACAGGAGGAGGAGTGTGAGGGGTGGGGATGATGGAGTGTGTGAGTGTGTGTGTGTGTGTGGGTGTGTGTGCGTGTGTGTGTTGGGTACTCACTGTAGGGCACACACTCATACTGAATCTCCAGATACTTGTAGGTGCCTGGACACGGGTCAGGAAACACATCTGACCCAGCAACGACCACGCACTGTGTACGGTTATTACACCTGAGAGAGAGAGAGAGAGAGAGAAAGAGAGAGAGAGAGAGACATGCCGTTATAACCTGATGGACAAATGGACAATGAGGCAAGACGTTTAAGCAGTTCCACCAATTTTTTAAAATTCCTGCATAATTTAATTCAGACGCAAACAAAGTCATTCGGATTGGTTGGATGTAAAATGCTCAATTTTAGAGAAACTTGCCAAGTCAGGATTGTTCACAGCGCTGGTGATAGAACAGATATCTAAAGAGTTAATGTCTATAAAATCTCTTTTACAGAAAGTTATTACACAAAATAGTTACAAATACGTTGCCCTAGTAAGTTGTCAGGTAAGGCTTTGGTCTAAAACTTACTTATTTATTTTTAAAAAGCATTCATACAGGGTGTTCTAAGATAAAGATTTTCAGATTTATCACAATTTTACCACCATTATACCAACATTACATGTAAAAATGTACAACAGACACATGTAGGTTCACTGGTCATTTAGGATAGTAAATAAAATGGCTATATGAATTGAATTGTAGGCATTGCAACTCATCACCACTGTAAAGAAATCTTCGGTAGTCGGTCTCTACAATGAACTATTTCACATCAAACCATCCTGAATGGCTTTGTTTACATTTGACTGACTGATTTGCACAGGTTTCTTTTGATTTATCAGATGACAAAACATTTTTTTAATCCCTTAAAAGGCAATTCCTTCAATTTTCCAAACTTTAAGCATATTAAATTATGCTTAAAGGGCAGTTCTACCCAATTGTTTTTTGCAAAAGTTCTGAATAATTCAGACCTTGAGATGTAAACAGAGTAATTCCAGATTGGTTTGATGTGAAATGGTTCACTGTAACTTAGAGACATTTTTACAGTGCCGATATGAACTTTTTACAGGTAATGTTGATGATGGTATAACAGGCCTAAATCTGACAAACACAAACTTTCTTTGGGGTCTATTTTGCCTTAGTACACTCCTCATGTATCCCTCCACCATGAATGGATTAAAATCAATTGATTCAAATATGTTTTAGGCCAAAACATTATCACAAAACTGTCACAAAACAATGTCTCAGACATCAGGTTGAGTATTCATAACTATTTAATGAAATAACTTTCTGTGAGGGACCTTTAGAGGCAGATGTCTGGTTCCTTTAACCTCCACTGTGAACAATTCTGACTCTGTAAGTTTCTCTAGAACGAAGCATTTCACACCAAAACACACCATTTCGTTTTGCAGAAATAGAAAAAAAATGGTGGAATTACTGCTTAAGGTTTGGAAAATTGGAAGAATTGCCCTTTAAGGTGATATAAACAAAGTCATTCAGTGTGGTTTGAGATGAAATGATCCATTCTGAGCCAAATGTTTGATCCAAAATTATCCAAATTGTCAACATTGGTGGTGATGTATACAGGATGCAGATGTCTGCGGTGTTTAATGCCTCTAACACTGTGTAAAGGTCTTCCCAGCCTCATAGTGGTACACAATCGATGGATGCATGCATCTATGAATGCATCTACATTGCCATGGTGACAGCATCACCAGTGAAAATGGACGGCTGTCACATGATAGTTTAGCAGTGTTGATTGTTTATTTGAGGTCATAATAAATGCAAGAGAATGCTCAGCATTTTGTTGTATAATATGTGGTGTGTCTGGATTTCAGCATCCAAGCCTCCCAAAATAATCAACATCCATTTTATTTGATCGTTGCAGCCATCACCAAAAAGGTACACTGCCATTGCTGCTGGTGGTGGTAGAACGTTGTGTTGCTACTCCACTGGAAATAAAGGAACATCTGGTTTCATCTGTCTACTGTCAGCATGTAAAAACTACCACACAGAAAGGTATTTGAACTTGTACCTGTAGGTTCACTTCATTTTGGACAGTAAGCTCCACCATTGTCACCACCACTGTAGAAGTCTGTATGTTTTATCTACAGTACACCACTTCCCATTAACCCCTTAAAATCCTGGCCTAATACATTCTAAGGCTTATTATTTAGTAATTATATGAGCTAGCACGCAAACTTAGGCAGACATTTTGACAAATCTGTTAAATTCCCCAAAATTTCTACAGAACCTAAGCCTAAAAGCACACTGATAAAATTGCGTTGATGCCATAAATTTTCTCCATGTGCACCCATTTGACACATATGAATTATGAACCAGGTTTTTCAGTGTGGGTGGTGGGGCATATCTTTACATTTCCGACTTTAACTCGGTGATCTATTACACTATTATCAAGTGATTCATATCCTCTGATTCAGCATAAACTCATATTTTCAGTAATACCAGCTTTTGACAGTCCACTCTAAAAGCTTTGCAGATCTTCACCTCATTTTTAACTAACATTTAAGTAAATATCTGTTGAATAACAACTGAATTTTGAATTGAAAGTGACAGATCCTGTTAAATCTAATCCTAAAACTAAACCTGTTCCCATAATTCTCATAATTCTTTTTTTCATATGTGCCCTTTAATACATGCTATTATGAATGACAACATTAAGTACATACTGTAAAATGAACCTTAATGAAAGTGTGGGGCTACACAAGGATTCTTATAGTTAAAAGGGGCTAATTTCTTATTTGTAGCTCATGGAAACAAGCGGAGAAGTTCAGTCCCAGAAGATGAAACCACATTTGTGTTTATCAGTAGCAGCAGAGATCATTAATTATGATTTGAATTTGATAAAAAATGTGTTTTCCACATAGAAAAATATTCCAGATATTTATTGTCTCATTTTTTGAAAAACAGAAAGAGGTGCTGGCGCAAACCCAGTGACAAAATGTAAATGAAATGTAAATGTAACTTATTATAGACCTAATTATGTAATTATTTATGAAATGACATAATTGAATAGTATAGCAATTCACCAAGTCATAAACGCAGACTTCTAAGAGTTAATCGCGTTTGCATAATTTGTTAGCATTCACGCCTGTAAAGCATGGGACTGAACTGAGAGAGAGAGGGAGATAGAGAGAGTTATGTATTTAATAATCTATACATGAGAACAGAATGGAAAGGATGGTCCCTTCAGGCTATAGGAGGAAGTTGCATAATTTCCCACTAGACCTGATCATGTGACGGCAACATTAGCGAGGATTCAGCAGGCTTATACAGGCTTACACATACGAGGCCTATTGATGGTATCTAGCATGCAGGAATGGAGCTGGAGAGATGTATTCTCAAAGGTTATTATCAATATTACATGCACATGCACTATTTAAATTTATTCCGCCTCTCTTTTTCTCACTCCCTCTCACGCACATTCACACACAAACACACACACACAAACTCACACACACAAGTGTGTAATCCCCTCTCTGCAGTTTTCTGTGTGCTCTCACTATCTTCTCATCATGGTAGGTGCCTTCCACAAGCCTTCTCTCTCTCTCTCTCTCTCTCCCCCCCTCCATCGATCTAGCCTCTGAGGAGACAGATGCTGAGCGTAGTCAGAAAGCTCAGTTGCACAGCAGCACACACTCACACAGACACACACTCATACTAGACCCATTTGTAAACACATAAACGCCCCTGCGCACACAAACTGATGTAAACACATTTAACTGCTCAATCATATGAGTACACATGACACTGCACTGACTTGGCCTCTCTCGCCCCCTCTTTCTCTCCCTCTCTTTCACATTCAGGCTGATTTCACACAACTTTTCTCACAATTTTAGCTCAGAAATAAATTTCACCAGTGCTGCATAATGTAAAGCTTCCTGCCGCTCGACTGAAACGTGCGTAAAACTCACAATGGTTACAGCTGTTTCATGAGCAGCCAATCAGAACTAGGGCTGTCACTGCCGATTATTTCACCTATTGATTAACCCAACAACCATCAAATAATCAGAGTTTTAAGGCCTAACAATGAAACTAGGTTTAACTGGACATGTTGAATACTGTAGAATACTTTACTGAAAAAGCAAAGGAAGCCTTTGAAAAGACTTACTACACAACTTACTACTGTATTAAGTAAATGACCGCCTTTCAGTTATTTAATTTCCAGTCAAAATGTCCGTTAAATAATCAATTTTTCAGTAGATATTTCTGAGGACATTACATATAAGACAAAGTTGCTGGTGTTCTCAGAACAACGGACTGACAAACCCAGAGTCCAGATTTTAGCATAATTGAATGTGTTAAGGTTACTTGGATCATGAGAAGTAGAAAATGCAAGACAACTTCTAAGATTTAAGTTTGGAGGTGTGGAAAATTATCCCTACAGATTTCTTTGAGAAATTAAAAGCAAGTCTCCCGAAAAGAATGGAAGCTGCGATAAAGGTAAAGAGTGGACACACTAACTGCTGGAAAAAAGACATTTTATCTATTTTTTTCTGTATATATACATGTTGTGTTTTTTCTCTTTTGAAAAAATAATAACTCGTAGTTAATGGTCATTGTAACTGGGAAATTAAATAAAGGAAGGTGGTCTCCAAGCTGTTGCGAGTATAGTTTAAAAGAAGTTGAATGCCTTTCTGACCCTTGGCATCCCACAATCAGTCAAACTTTCTGCATATTTAAATCTTTGAGATGTAAACAAAGTCATTCAGAGTGGTGGAGTCAGAGACAGTGGTGGTCTTAAGAATCAGACATCTGAAGAGATTAATGCCTCTAAAAGTTGCCTTGCAGAAAATTACTACCTAGAATGGTTATGAATCATGTTCCCTGATGTCTGAGACATTGTTTTATGATAATTTTGAGATAAGATTTTGGCCTAAAATGTATTTTTGAAAATCTATTAATGGCAGCGAGGACATCTATGCTGTTAAGGCAGAATAGTCTCCATGAAAAAAACAATCACTATTTTAGTGTCAACTTTACATGTAAAATTTTAGAAGATACATGTAGGTTTGCTTGTTTTGGATAGCAAATAAAATGAATATATATATATATATATATATATATATATATATATATATATATATACACACACACACACATATACATATGTTGTAGACATTGTGACCCCAGGTTCCTATCAGGATCACTGTACAGAAATCTGAATTGACAATTTCTCTAGAATGGAGCACATTACATAAAATAAACTGAATGATCATATTACGCAGAAATCTGAAAAAAACTGGTGTGATCTCCATTTAAGACTTAATGATACAATATAGACAAAACGACTCCATTTATGAAAGATATTAGCTGCTAACTGCGCTAACTAGTGGAGTGATTGAATATGTTGCACTTTTGGTAACTTCGAATTGCTTCATTAAATGACAAGTTGCACAGAAATTATGCTTCATGCAGTCAGAGATACACACCCTCACACACACATAAACACACACACTGGCACTCCTGTGTACCTCTGAGACATGATCTTGAAGGCGTCGGGCAGGTAACACTGCACGTTCTCCATCTGAAATGGATCTGCGTCACAGATCTTATCATCTGTGCGGCCATAGTTGGCCGTCTCGATCATGATGACATCACTGCCTGGGCAGCGCAGCTCAATCGGGTAACCCTCACATGCCAGCTCCCGCCGCATCAGACCAAAGGGCATCGCCGAGCGACTCAGTGCTAAAGAGAGAGAGAGAGAGAGAGAGAGAAACAGAGTGACAAAGAGCAACAAAGCAGCTGAAGAAATTAATATGTTACATATGCTAAGCACAGTCATTTTCCTGACCAAGTACAGACTGACTGACCACAGCCTGGCCATAGAGGACCTGGCTTTACAGATAAAAAAGATCAGATGGTCATCATGAGGCAGGAGAGGTTTTGGACAGAGATGTACTTTCTCTTTTACTCTTAAACGTATTCTAGACAAATACTTTATCTAAATTGAAAGAAGAAGAAAACTTTGAATTTGCTGACCACCCTGAAACATAGAAACTGAAAATACTGTTAGGAAATAGAAGAGTGCCCCAGCATGAGGGAGCGTGGGTAGCATATTGATATTACAGAGTACCAGTACTAGCGCTTGTTTCTAATAAGATTTCCATAGCAGGGAGCCAGAGAAAATCAAGCTCCACTCTCACTTTAGCTATTTCTGTCCAACCTTCCACTGTGAGAAGACATCTCAACACTATGGGTCTGAAAGGACATAAAGTTGCGAAGAAGCCCTCACTGAAAAAAAGGGAGTATAGAGAAAAAAGGAAGAAAATTTGGACTAGAACATTGAAACTGGACATCTGAGATCGATGAGTGAAAACTTATTGGGACTGCAGAAATGCAACCAACTTCTAAGACTGAACTTTGGAGATGTGGAAAAAAATCCCTGCATATTTCTTTGAAAAACTGAAAGTCTCCTGAAAATAATGGAAGTTGTAAATGCTGAAAAAAATGAAATTATATTTAGTTGTTCTGGCTTCTGTGCAATTTATTTTTAAATAGATAATTTTCTTTTTTTTCTGCACCAAAAAATACAATTTGTACTTGATGGCCTTTTTGACAGAAAATGAAATAAATGAAGGGTGGTCTCTGACTTTTGCACAGTACTGAAAAATAAAAAGAGTTGAATGCTTCGACAATAATAATGAACTAATAAGGTTTCCTCGAGTTAAGCTGCACTGAGGGGGGGTGTAACATGTCAGGTTTGTGTCAGTAAGCTGAGTGTTAAAGCATAGCAGCATGTAGACATAATGAGCAGGTTCAGAGATGAGAATGAGTGTGTGCTCTCCCACAGCTCAGACACACACTTATCTCACCCAAACCGACAACATACCAGTCCCTCTAGCTGCTCACACACAAACACACGTACTCATGCAGTGATCACACCCTCTCATCCACACTCTCACATACACACACGCATATCTGTGCCAAGCCACATCTACCACTCTCACACACTGCTGCTGAGCGGAAACACACATCCAGCTCACATCTGCCTTCAGCTCTCCAGCAGCTAATAAACTCAGAGCTGAGGAAAGAGAGAGAGAGAGAGGGAGAGAGAGAGAGAGAGAGAGAGAGAGAGAGAGAGAGACAGAATTCACACTGTTCACACTCACCAGTGGCTCTGGCAAGTCTCACAGCATATCTGTCATTTACTTACTAAGTCAGTTCATTCAGGCCAGACTGAGAGAAACAGAAGAAGACAGAGGGAAGAGAATAACAAAGTTGCAGAGCTTAAATTAGGACTGAATTTTTTATACAAACCAGAATATATCACTAGAACATTATCTGTCCAACACGACCTGGCCTACATCAAGTTCTGAACTTGTACCCAACTGCAGCTCAACAAATTTTTGCCCTAACCCGAATGTAGCCCAGCAAAATTTGGCCCTACCTCAAACGTAGCCAGACAAAACTCAGCCATAGCTCAAATGTAGCTCAGCAAAATTCAGCCCTAGCTCAAATGTAGCCCAGCTAAATTCAGCCCTAGCTCAAATGTAGCTCAGCAAAATTCAGCCCTAGCTCAAATGTAGCCAGACAAAATTCGGCCATAGCACCAATGTGGACCAACAAAACTCTGCCCTAGCTCGAATGTAGACTGACAAAATTCTTCCTACACTCAACTGCAGCCCAAATAAATTCTGTCTAAACCCAATTGTAGACTAACAAATTTCTGCCTAAACATGGCTGTCACCTGAAAAAACTGTGGCCAAAAAAAACATCTGTCCCAGCCTCATTGAAGCCCATGAAAAAATTCTACCTGAGCCCATCTGTAGCCAACAAAATTCTGTCCAAACACGACTGTAGCCAAAGTTCTGTCCAAACCCAAATGCAACGCAAAAAAAAGTTTCAGCCAGACTGATGCCCGAGAAAGTTCTGTCAGAATCCTACTGTGGCCCAACAAAACTGTCTAAATCCCAATGTATCCAACAAATTTCTATCCTGATCCACCAGCAGCCATATAAAATTCTGTCTGAATCTGACTGTTTCCCAACAAAATCAAGTCCAAATACAAATGCAGCCCATTAAAATTCTGTCTGAACCTGACCATAGCTCAACACAATTCTGTCCAAACCTGACTGTAGCTCAACAAAATTCTGTTTGAACCTGACAGTAGCCCAAGACAATGCTGTTTTAACCCGAATGCAGCTCGACAATTTCTGTCCGTACTAACTGTAGCCAACAAAATTCTGTATAAACTCAACTGTAACAAAATTCTGTCCAAACTTGATCACAGCCCAAAAATAAATTCTGTCCAAACCCAAATGTAGCTTGACGAATTAATGTCTACACCTGGCTGTAACCTGAAAACTGTTTGAACCTGATTGTTGCCACAAAAAAAAATGCGTCCCTGCCTCAGTTAAGTCTATGAAAATTCTGTCTAAATCTGACTGTAGCCAGCAAAATGCTGTCCCAACCCAACTGCTGCCCAAAAAAGTCTTCCAGCCAGACTAAAACCCATGAGAATTCAAAGTGAACCTGACTGTAGCCTGAGACAATTCTGTCTGAACCTGACAAAATTCTGTCTGATCCTGACTGTAGAACAATAGAACTCTATTCAAAGCCAAGTGATGGCTAATAAACCTCTGTTCGGATCCAACTAAATCCCAAGCAAACTGCCCATACCCAACTGTGGATGTCAAAGTTCTGCCCAAACCCGACTCTGCACAAACCAAACTCTGTCCGAACACGTCTGCAGCCCAATAAACGTCTTTCCCAGCCCGACTGAAGTCCGAGAAAATTGTCCAAACCTCACCACAGCCCGACAAAATTCTGTCTGAACTCGACTGTAGCCTGACAAAATTCTGTCCCAGCCTGACTAAAGCTAAAGAAAATTTTGTCAAAACCCATTTCAGTCTGAGAAAATTCTGTCTGAACCCAAATGCAGTCAGATAAATTCAGCCTGAACTCGACTGTAGCCCCACATTAGCTGTCTGAATCTGACTGAAGACTGAGAAATTCTCTCCGAGCCTCACTAAACCCATCGTGAATAATCGGGTCCCTTTGGGCTCAGGTAAATATCTCAGACTCCAGACTGCTGTCAATTGGGTTAGCAGGAGTAAAACAGCAGAAGAAAATAAACAAAAAAATAAAAAGCAAGCAGAAAGCAAGAAACGACAAAAGAAAAGAAAGAGATCAATAAATCCTGCAGAGAAAAGGTGAGGGAGAGAGACAGTGAGAGTGCTAGAGAGAGAGAGAGAGGGAAAGAAGGAGACAGATGGAAGAATAGAGAAGGAGTGAGCTGTGTGTTGTGTAAAGTGGGCCGGCGGTGCAGTAGGGTTAATCGCTGTGCTTGGCTGAGTGGGCCAGAGAGAGGCACAGAGTGCTGTTCTCTATCTGCACAAGAGCTTTCAAAAAAAGCCTGCGCATTCAGTCCAAGCTAGACAAAATGGCCGCTGGCCGCCTCCACCGACTAGGCGACAAAAGGCAGTTGGTGGAGCTCTCCGTGGTGCTGAAAGACAGGCGGCGGGGTTTTCAGGGACTGCCCACTGTGGGAAAAGTTACCAGTCTATGAACTTTCAGAGCTGTCCATTGTGCTAAAAGAGTTCAGGAATAAAAGGCTCCAAAAACACCAAAGCAGAGATGTCACAATAGATTCACAGTGAGATGAACTTTCACTGCAACAGTTAACGTTTCAGCGTTCTGAGTTATTTCTACAGTTTTGCTATGCCGTTTAAATGTAATTGTGTAATTACTTAACTAATTACATAGTTATACAATGAATTACTTTTAAATCCAGTATTGACAGGTTTGATTAAGGACGTCTGACTCTTTTTCATTTTTTTCAATGTCAGAAATTGCCAAAAACAATACATGATTTTTTTTCTTTGCACAAAAAAGCAACACAACACTGACATTTCATCAAATTCAAATCATAATAAATGCAGTATTTCTCAAGTTGTTTTAATGAGCTGTGAGTGAGAAATAATGAATATTAAACTACAACAAGCTTTTGTTATCATCAGCGATGAGTGTGATTTCCAAGTCAAGGCATTAATTGAGATAGTAATACTCATTACTTATCAAAATAATCAAAATGATCATTTTCTATTGGGAGGTGGCTGTTCCAAACCCTAAGGCCTAAATTTCAACTTGTGAAAATAAAACATATTCTGCAAATTTTGTCAGTGTTTTTTTCAATGTATCATTATTATTATTATTATTATTATTATTATTATTATTATTGGTCTATTTTAGATGGTCTTTTTTAAACTTAAAAACCCATTGTCAGGAGATTGCAAGTTCAATCCTCAAAGATACCACAGCCATCCATGGCCAGGAGTCCAAGACAGCATAAAAGGCCTAGGGTAATACACTCTTCTCCAGGTGTGTTGAGCTTCAGTGACGATGCATTATAAGCAGTTTGAAAATCTTTACTGAGTATGTTTACATGCACTTAATAATCTGATAACTGCAGAAAATCAGATTTTGTCAGTAATCCGATCACGGCGTCTCTATGCGCTTGAGTAATCAGATAATAAAACTCCAGGTCTACATGAGTCAGACAGTAATAAGATTTTTACTTTGCAACCAGCCAATAAACTCATAGAACAAGATGTGACGTAAACGTAACGTAAAACACAAACTTCATGTCGCAGCTTTTTTTTAAAAACATCGCGCCACTTCAGCTGAAACTATGAACACACATCATCTAGAAAATAGAGAATATTTAAATGCTTCATTTCGTCAAG